ATCAAACACAGATCTGTGATCAGTAGTTGTCTTGCAATACGCCTGAAAAACAATAGTCTGTGATGGAGGCCATCAATACTAAGAAAACAAACGATGTTGTTGCTGTTACCCCAGTTCGAGATGGAGGCTCGACAACGTACCAATGTCCTGTACTCACTACAACGAATTATACATCTTGGGCTATCAAGATGCAGTCGTTTATGGATGCCCAAGGAATTTGGGATGCCATAGAACCACCGGATGCGACGGAGGTGGACGTCAAGATCCGGAAGAAGGCAAGGGCCTTTATCTTCCAGGCACTACCGGAAGACATTCTGATGCAAGTAGCAGGACATGCAGAGGCCAAGGAAGTGTGGGATGCACTCAGGGTGCGTTATCTTGGAGCCGATCGGGTTAAACAAGCACGAATCCAAACTCTAAACAGAGAGTTTGAACTGCTGAGAATGAAGGAAAGTGAGAGTATTGATGATTTTGCAAGCAAGATCAGCAAGATCGTGTCTAAGGTTCGGGAACTTGGATCGACAATTGAGGAGAAGAAACAAGTAAATAAGTTGCTTAATTCTGCCACAAACAAGTTCCTTCCAATTGTTGCCACAATAGAACAGTATTCAGACTTGAATACTATGGCGTTTGAGGAAGCTGTTGGTAGCCTTAAGGCCTATGAGGAATGGGTTACTCCTGGTGGATCTGGATCAGTCAAAGATTCATCAGATCAATTGTTGTTAACAAGGGCTGAATGGCAAGAAAGGCAGAAAACTGAGTCAAGGCAGGCCGGCAGGGGTCGTGGAACAGGATTTAGTGATCACCGTGGCCGAGGTCGTGGGCGTGGCAGACCTAACGGGCATGGACGAGGGGGCCGAAATCCCTCAAATAATAACCGAAGTTTTGGACAGGATGAACAACGTGGTAAACGCGACCGAAGGAACCTACGGTGTTATAATTGTGATAAGCTTGGTCATTTCTCCGCCGAGTGTCGGGCTCCTAGAAGAACCGATGATGAAGTTAATCTAGCAAAGGAAGAGGATGAACCCACTTTGCTAATGGTAAAGAATGTACAAGATGTGGTGATGCTGAATGAGGAGAGAGTGTTTCCTTGTGAATATGCCAAAGAGAGCAGCGAGGAAGGCACGTGGTATTTAGATAATGGTGCTAGCAATCACATGACCGGGGAACGGGGTTATTTTAGCAACCTTGATGAAAAGATAGTGGGTCGTGTGAAGTTTGGAGATGGTTCAACAGTTGAAATCAAAGGCAGAGGATCTATTCTTTTGCAATGTAAGAATGGTGACCAGAGGCTCATCACCAACGTCTACTATATTCCAGACCTATGTAATAATATACTAAGTTTGGGCCAACTTGACGAGGTGGGATGCAAAATTGTTATGGAGGACAGTTTTCTTTGGCTATATGACCGTTCAGGAGCAACATTAATGAAAGTGAAGAAGTCTCCAAACCGACTATATAAGGCACATCTTCATATAGTTCAACCAACATGTTTACTTGCAAAGATGGACGAGGCAGCCTGGATTTGGCATGCACGCCTTGGACATTTAAACTTTGATGCTATAAGGAAGTTATCAAAAGAAAAATTGGTGATTGGCGTGCCAAACATAAATCACAAGTCACAATTGTGTGAAGCTTGTCTCGTTGGGAAGCAACGACGTCTTCCATTCCCATCCCAAATTTCTTATCGAGCACAACAGCCCCTTGAACTGATACATGCTGATCTGTGTGGTGCTATTACACCAAGTACACCATCTGGCAACAGGTACTTTTTATTGCTAGTTGATGATTTCAGCAGATTTATGTGGGTATATGTTATCAAGTTCAAAGGCCAAGCATGTGAGGCATTCAACAAGTTCAAGAAGTCAGTTGAATTGGA